TAGGGTAATAATATCGATAATAAAGGTGACAACAACATTAATAATAATAATAATGAGAAAAATACTAATAAAACGCCCATAACAACAACTTTTTAAATTACTATTATTAAAATTATAATACTAAGATAATAAATAATAATATAAAATAATATGAATAATAATAATAAAAAATCGAAAATTATTTATTATTTATATGGTACTGTAATAATAATAAAATCAGCAAAAATTTGAACAACATATAATGTTAATGCTAAGACTAATAATTAATATTAAAACTAACGGTAATAAAAACAACAATAATAATAACAACAATGACAACAATAATAAAAGCAATAATAATAACAATTAGTACAATGTAGTACCAGTAAATGACTTGTGGCCGAGTTGATTTGTGGCCGAGATGACTTGTGGCCGAGTTGACTTGTGGCCGAGTTGACTGTTTGTGTTCCCCCTGTCTCTTATACACATCTAGCCAAACTTTTTGTGGCCGAGTTAACTTGTGGCCGAGTTGACTTGTGGCCGAGTTAACTTGTGGCCGAGTTGACTGTGGCCGAGTTGACTTGTGGCCGAGTTGGATCGAATTCTTTCTATACTAATGGTTTGTTTGTTTTATTTCAATCATAATTTTTTATGCAATTATTATTGCATATTAAAATTGTGCAGAAATTGCAATAGTGATTTTCCTTTTTGTAAATATTTTGTTTAATATAAATAACCAGTAATTAAAAACTAAACGCATATAAAGAAAATAAAAGTACAGTTTCACAAGAAATGCTTTTCTTTTCTGGATTCTTTTTTTATTGTCTTCTGAAAACCGATAACTTACAACTATACACAATGAAAAACAATAGATTTATAACATGTGACGAAACAGGTCCATTTGTTTTACTGATATATCAATTGGTTATCAGGTAAATTAAAAGAACATCTTGTTTGGACAAATGCATAAAAACAGAAACAACCTACAGTACCAAGGAATATGTCCAAAACCCATTCCATTGTGCATCTAAACTTCTAATTACAAAGGGAAAAGAATGGAAATATAAATATACAATAGAACAATTCTTAGTCTTGTTTTTAAACTAAAATAAGCTACAATGAAAGCAGTTAAATACTGATGGGGAAGCATGATTAACATGGTAATTAATAAAATAAATTATGCACAGAAAGTGATTGCTGTAATATAAACAAGTCATCACCTACTGGTGTAGGGAATACCTGTGGTGGTGCCAGGAGGCAGGCCATATCCCATTTTCTGATCCATCCCTCCCCCTTTGGACATGTTGAACCCCTTGTTGGCAAATTTCTGAAATCACGGCTGAGGGAAACAGCATGTTTATAGAAGCTTCACAATAGGTTAATATTTATTTTAGATTAACTTTTTCAGATTGCCATATTCACCTTAAGAAACAAACTACATTCTCCACTGTATTTCAACTCTCAGTATTAGAATACAGTATTATTAATTTCAAATTTATAATCATTATTGTTTGTTTTTTTTTTTTTTAGAAATGCAGTACCTGTAGTGAAAATGCCAAATTACATGTTTGGCGCCCTCTATATTTACTTGCATATTCATAATTTTGCAGGTAGTTTTTGATACTGCCTTAAAATATAAACATTAAATTTTCAGCCTCCAATTTCAAGGAGAGTTTTATTCAATTTGAAGAAAAAACAATTATGAGATAGTAAATATATATTAAAAAGGGAAAAAACAGACCTAGAAATGTAATTGTAATGGTTTCAACGTGTTTGAGACATGCATATAATTGTCTTACTGTGAAAGCAATTTTAATTAAATGTTTTATTAAGAATGGATAATTTATATCGCATCATATTTAATAATTGTACAATTGGCTTAGTTCTTTACAGTTGGCAAGCTAGACAAAATGTACAGGAGAAACAGCTTTTACTTGAGAAAATACTCTACATTATCACATTATATTCAAGCAATTGTTTTTCCAATGATGATGTTCTAAATCATTTTAAGCAAAATTACTAACACTTTGTCCAAACAGAGGATGTTTCTTACCAAAGAAATGGAAATGGTTAATAAAAATAGAACAAAAAATAAATAAATTATCATCTCATAAAATCGATGCTGTACAAAGTACAATAAAGTTTTATTTCAATTTTTTTCCAACTATTTGTTATTCTACTATTTCACAATAAAGGGGTTTAATCAAAGAATTCTACAATGCAATGTGATTAGCTTACTTATTCATTACAATTTGTATGTCATCAGATATATTCAACATTTTTCATCTTGTTCCCCAACACAAGAGTTTGGATGGATTATCGTACGAAGACCCAAAAATCTAGAAATTGTTTAACACTAATTTACGAACCACTACATATACTGAAATGAATACTCCCCTTTTGTTGTTTATAATTTGCAATTTTTTACAGCAAAATAAAAAAAATTCTAGGCATTCCAAAATAGTTCCTTTTTTATTTCTTAAATAGTAACCCCAACACCATTCCCTACAACTTATAAATATTAACATTGAAATCACAATATTCAGCACATCTTTTATTTTAAACACACCCTCTAATTCCATTTTGATCAGTGGGCAGCAGCTACTCTTTTGGGTGACAAAATGTAGACATGCCAAAATTATGTTTGGAAATACAAGAAATTACCATAACTAATGTAACCTAAGATCTGTTACTTCAATACTATAACAGTATTCTGAATGTTAATTTTATTACAGCCACAAACGCATGAGTGTAACTTTACACTCATTTATATTATTTTGTCAATTATCAGTTTTAGAAGAAAACTAAATGCAATTTGATAAAAGAAAAATAAAGTTGGCACAAGAATGAGGGATGTTTTCTATACTCCACCATAATCTAATTGCAGTTGTGAAGCAGTGATCTGCATGTCTGCAAAATTTATTCTTGAGCCAATTAGTTTCACTAAACTCATAATATAGAGCTCAAAATTTTAGAGATGCATGCTCATTGGTTACAAGTCCAGCTCTAATGGCTTCTATATTTCTTGGCCTTTCTCACACAACAAAAATATGAACACAATTAACTTGATACCAAAGCACAGTCCACACTATCAAGGATTGCTCATTTATACAAGTGTGATATGATATCATCATGCCCAAATATGGGTGTGATATGACATCATCGTGCCCAAATATGGGTGTGATATGACATCATCGTGCCCATGGGCAAATCACTAGGATTTATGAAATAAACATGATAGTGTGGAGAGAGCTTAAAAACTGACAACCAAACATGTTCACATGTGTACTAGCATTCACTCCACATTCCAGTTCATCACCCATATGCATCCTGATGCAAACACAGACAGTTGAGGATATACCGTAGACAAGATGACGATGTGAACTTGCAAGTATGACAGCATAACAAAGCATCACTCATAATAAATTCATCTTTGTTTCCAACATAACACCAATATCCCTTGGTAAACAACACTGAAAAAAAATAACATGATGAACGCTGATTTTTAACTTGCTTGCAAATTCATCACAATAGTCAATATTATAGACACATCCACACAAGCTAGTCCACTTCGATGAACATACATGACACGTATAGGCCGCCTCAACAAGCTTAACTGCCATGCCAGGCAAGGGCTGTGAGCATAACTGCTGATAAACATTGGCAATCTTCACGAGCATAACTGCTACAATTTCATAATGAGTGTAGGTGTGAAAACAAGATTTCCCTGAGCAGTTAGAAAGTATTTCTTAGCAGCTTCTACGACAAACAACAGCAAGTGAAGTTTTCTCTTAAAGCAACGACACTGCCACAATTATAACAATAGCAACTGTTCCTGCTGGAGTGCAACAAACTAGAGAATCGTTACTGCTAACAACTCAATGTATAGCTCACTGTTTGTTTCGCTAATTTGTCGAAAAAAACTTCAATTTTATCCTCAATTTTAGTAATGGGGATCATGAAGAATACCGCCAACAGTCTTGTGGACAAGACAACAGAAATAATTCTTTCTGTGCTAATTTAGCATTACTGTTCTCATCCTTTTTATATCAACATAAACGTTGTCTTTTAAGACCATGTTTGGCAAAGTAAGGTCTACGAATGAAGGGATGACATTCCCCACAAAAATCCACATAAAAGGAAAATGCAGCATAATGGCTTTTCATCACTTCCATACCATGCCAGCGGTTTGGTTCAATCCTTTCGAGGGAATCATGTCAAGTAAATATTCACGATGTCGATCAGCAACCTGAGATGACTTCTGCATCATCTGAAGAAAAAGAATTATTTATAATATAATTTATAATAGATATGTATTTGTTTTTATTTGAGCAAGACATTCAATCTTTATTTGTCTTTCTTTCAGGAGTATAAAACCCTATCCACACCATCACAAATTTTTTGACACAAAATATGTGACATACCTATATATGGTCATGATGACATCACATCATGAACATATATAGGCACATCATGACTATATATGGGCATACAACAGTAAAATAAAATATTACAGTTTGGACAGAGCTTTAAGAGTAGTATAAATTGATGGGCACCTGATAGGATGTAAGGTTGGGCAAAAACATCACTCGCATTAAATCACCTGATGCAAAAATGCATCAAATAACCCAATCAAATACAAATGCGCTTTGTCCAAAGTATTGTTTCTTTTGACATCTAGATTTCCACCCCACTTGATCACAGATATGCTACATCATCAATTGAAAATCTCCAAAACTGTGTCATTCATATTGAAAGGCGTTCATCGAGCCATATAATTTACTGCGTGTGTGAATATAACATGAGTGCATGAGATTGAAACCTTAATGTGAAATGCAATACTGCTTAACATTAAATTCCAATTTATTTCAGTTACTACTGAATAAACAAAAGTATTTAGCAGGGAAAATGGACAGTTGAACAGATATACAGAGCGATATTCATACTACCGGCAGTCATCTGTCAAAATACATTTTTTTTCCAAATAGAATTAGATAAAAAAAGGCATAAGTGATCATCATTTTCAAGCAAGTACAAACATATTATTTTCTGTGACCCCTCACCCATCCCTCCTGCAAAGTGTACTGTACATAATATATGGTAATGAGGATTGATAACATTTTGAGACCTTCATTTTGTTATATTTATAAGCATGCATTAACCTCTGTAGTATATTTTGTACTCTTAGAAAATTGATGAAAAAAAATGGATGACAAATTTTTGTCTCAGTAAAAATAAAATCATTAGATTAATTATGGCCATTATAATTGAAGTGTTAAACAGCAAAAATCTTTGACTAGTAGTTTTACTGCATGCATCAAAAATATTTTCTGTGTATATAACCCACTCATAAGTGTATTTTTATCTTATATAATTCTAATTATTGAGCCATTGCAGTTTAACAACTTGAGGGTCATGTTTTGCACAATGAATTTATTTCAATATTAAGAAGACATGTACATTTTATATTTCTGGTTTGTAATAATATTCAAGATTCAAATAAATTGAAAAAGAATATGAAGACAACAAGAAATTTAAATGTAATAAACATTCTTTAAATTTTGAAGATACAGAACCCAATTACTCATTTCTCCCTTCTTAACATTAGCATAATATATTATATTACTAGGTAATTTAATCATTTCAATTGATATAAAGACTAGCGCCGCACCCAATAAAAAAAAAACAGCCATGGTGTCGATTCATTGCCACGACCTGACCCACTTTTCCCCATCGTTGCTTTTTCCTCTGAATTCACTGGAGGGTTACATGGCTTATGCCAGCAAGCAGTCGGGTGACAATTGGTTCTCAATGGTTTATCATTTTCATAGTCCACATTCGACATGGAATTCATTACATTTCATTGACAAATAACATTAGGACTTGCGCACTTAATAAATTTTAAACTGCATGGGCGCTGTATGTAGTAACCACTCGGGATCATTTGTTCATAAGGCGAGACTTCTTTTATACCTTGTAATATACTGCAAATATTGTTGATTTCAAATAAAAATAAAATTTTATTTTAGGCCAATTAGTGCACTAGCCAACACAGAAAAGTGGAAAATTCAGAAAAAAATTAAACTTTTTCTTTATTTTTATTCTCCGCTGCCTTGAAATCTCCAGATATGTATATTTCTTCCTAATTATATAAACTTTAAGCATTTAACCATCCTATTTTACATTCACCAATAAAATTTTATTTTTATTTTCTCCTCCGTCTGATTAACTTTGGCAAATCTATTTGCTAAATAAGGAAACAAAATTTAATTTTTGTTCTTATTCCGCCCTCCTCCGATAATCTTTAAAAAAATAAAGTACGCGAAACAAGTCTCGCCTGAAGTAAAATTAAAATACTGTATTAGAATGCACACAAAAAATGTTCAACAGCCATTATGTGAGCCGGGCCTTCATGTGAACAACCGCTCAAGAGCGGTTTTTGTCGTGGGTGACCCACGACAAGCCGCTCGCGAGCGGCTCTCGATGCAGCTCGCTCTTGATCCATGTGAACAACCGCTTGCGAGCGGGTCGCCAGCGAGCTGTGACCTCTTTTGTGTGATAGCCAATCAGATACAAGCATCTCCTCGGGGTCAAAGTAATGGAGAAAAGTGTGACTCCACGTTTCCTGGATACCGGTTTCGCTGGGCTAAACAAACATTGATCGTCCATTTTTTTTAATTTTTTTTTTGTTTCGCAGTGCACTGAGTTTTGTAGTACAGTATTTGATATCGCTATTTCCGTAACTTACATTGTATAATCCAGTTTTATTTTGGGAGACACTAATACTAAATAATCTATTTACCATCGTAAGTGCATCTTCATTTTCGAATCATAACTTACAAAAATTATCATTTTAATATCTTCCGGAGCGTAGGTTTAGGGGACGTTGGTACACCGCCGATACGTACGTCATATCACTTAATTGTGTGTAGAAAAAATGTACGAGACGATATCCACGAGTAATATTACTTTTAAGTTAGTTGTTATGTAGTTAAGTAACTTTCAAGTCTACATAAATGGTAAATACCACGCCATTCGTAACTCTACTTCAGCCAACGTCAAGAGAGGTCTAGGCCTCGCTAGTAGAGGCCTGTAGTATTTCAGTGAGCATCCCTGTTGGGGTCGGCGGTGCGGTGCTAGCCCACTGTTCTTTTAATTAGGCCTAGTTGCAGCCAGATAGCTTTAGCCTGTATACGTAGTATTGAATTTTATCTCCTATTTTTTTAAATATACAGTTTAATATATTTATCATTATATTTTTCTGCAGATAGAGTAAGCAGTCAGCGCAGGGATTGTGTTCAGAAAATGGTCCAGTATTTTGTTTCTCAGATTGCAATCATCAGGACGTGTCAGATGTAAACCATTTTATATTCTCCTGAAGACCTAATGGAGAAAAAGGATGGATAAAGCCGGCCCGATTCAGATTAATGTTACAGTAGTACTTTTTTAACAATAAAATTATTCATGTGCCTAAAGGAGTGTTTAAGTAAACTTATTGATTTCTTTTTAGCGTTTATATAAAATTAAACCAATCCAGTCTGGCACATGTACATGAAATAATGAACAAAGTTATAATATAAACTATGGAATTTGTAAATTATTTTAAATACTGAATTTGTGTCTGTATTTTATCCTGCAAACTTGAAAATCACTTAATATAACAACAATAAATCACATAATAACTAAGTTAAAAAATAATAACTCGTGGATATCGTATCGTACATGTCTTCTACAAACATGATTTAAACTACGGCGGTGTGCCTAGGCCTACGATCGGAAAATTTTAAAATGCCAATTTTTATAACTTACTAACACAATCTCGCTCACGACCCAGCATCTCAACCGCTCGCGATCAATGGAGACATGTGAACAAGACTTATGTGAACGTTGCAATTAGTTTTGATAAAAAGAAACAATAGGACCACTAAAAGAAGATTATATAGGATGCATGTTATCTCGCTCAGTTACTTTCTTTATGTAATGTCAGAAATTCAGTTGTAGTTCAGGTACAGATTTTGATAGCAGTTTATTATCCTTTTTCCAATACCATCTAGTATGTGAACATCGCAATTAGTTTGATAAAAAGAACAACAGGACCACTAAAAGATGATAGGATGCATGATGCATGTTATCTCTCACAGTTAACTTCCTTACGTTAAGTCAGAAATGCAGGGTATTTCAGGTACAGGTTTGATAACAGTTTCATATCATTTTTCATAACATAAATATATTTAAAAACCATTAAAAAGAGGATGAGACAGCATGGGTCAGGGAAGCTAAAGCACAGTTTTACTGTAACACATGGAGAAGCCAAAAACTGACTGTGCTTGACGAAAAATTGACTGTGTTTGTTAACAAACTATGTCTGAAAACCAAGTGTGCTTGAAAACTGTTGCCCTTTTAGAGTTCTATATAAAACCCAGGTGCGGAAGTATGTACATATAATGTTGCTCTTTTGGCGTTGCATATAAAACCACATCATAAACACGCCATTGGCAGGCCACATGGGTCACGAGACAGCTACACTGGTAGAAAACGACTGTAAAAGTCTTTATTTTTTTTGCACTCAATTAAGCTGACATTTGGAATTATATTCACTTTATCAGATGGAGACTTTGATGATCTACTGTACGTTGTTACAGTTTTCCAGACCGACATTATCTGAGGAACTCGGTTGACTTTTGTTTCTATTGTGATTGTAGGCTTTGAAATAAGCGTAATAATAATATAGATTATAATAATCAAAAACAAAATATAAAGAATGGGTACAAAATGCTGGCTGAGTGAGATTTATGCATTGTACCAACTGGCTTACCTGTGGTAGGTAGGCATAATTGATTGGTTGAACTGGTCTGTGGGTAGTTGGGGCTGGATTCATAATACGTTGCGGAGCCCTCTGGTGATGAGAATGCGCCTGAGCAAAAAAAAATAATGCATAGAGAAATCATTAGTCCACCAGATATATTTTTAGCTAAAAGAATTTTTTTTTTGGAAAATAGATTTAATTAAATAGACACAACAAATGTTTAAGAATTGGTTGACTATTTTTTTTTTTTTTTGGTGTGCACTCACCAAGGATAACCCACAAAAATCACTTCCAATGTGGTGGTCCTGATGACAAGTACTGTGCAAGGGCTAGACTAGTCCTGAAATACTATTAAGGATGTTCTTTAGCCATTAAATATGCACATGAAATAGTTGTTTACACTGGGCTTACAGTTGAGTCATCCAAAAAGACTGCAGCTATATAAACTGGAACCAAGGGGAACCAAGAGCGAGAAACGGCATTCATTGATAACACAAGGCAGCAAATAACGGCACCCATTTTATGTCACTCCAGCTCATAAAAGATGGTGTCCTTTAATAAGCCTCCCATCCAAGTACTGAGCCCATTATTACTGAACACCGGTAATGTGAAAAGAACCTTGTTTTAATAGTCAAATTAGTTAATAGTTATTCATGCAACATCAAATACTGGTACAGTACTTTCAAAAGCAATGTTGAACTCTACTGTCTGAACTGTACCTAATTAACATGAACACTAAAACTAACTCAATACTTAAATTGTAAAATTATAAGGAGAAAATATTTTCCTTATCAATTCAGATTGAATAATCTGGCTGGTGGTCAATTTAAAGACATTCATTTAGTCTGTAAATCAGATTTAATAGAAAGTTGACAAGATAATGATCTCTTTTAAATGAGTAAATCAATGTTTTAACTATGTTCTACGACAGTGAAGGTTTAGCCATAAAGGGATACTCATCACAACATATTAAATAGGATTCATCATTAAGGGTTTAACTATGTCAAAATCTCCATATAAGGACTAAAAATTCCTTTCATAATTAAAGCAATTCAAATTAAGGTTTAATGCAAGAGAACTGATTGGTTTCGAAGAAAGCAGACAAATGTATGTAAATCCCTAGTGCAGCAATGCAATTAATTAAAATGATACAGGGTTTCCAATAAAAATACAAGAAATTTCCCAGGTTAATAACTGTGGAATATCACCACTGCAATGGCTGACAGAATAGAAGAGTTAGAAATGTGGTTGCATGTTCAAAATATCATGGAAAGAAAAGAAAAAAAACTCAACAACTTTTCTTACCTGTTGCATATTTGTAGCATTCTGGTTTTGCATTCTCTGCTCAATTTCTTGCTCCTGTTGCAAGGCCTTCACAAAAGCTGTTTTTAGGCGGTTTGTATGCTCAGCCTTAAGAGCCTTCTTCTGATTGGATACAATACAAGTTTCGCACATGATACCACTCTTTGTATCATGCTTCCAGATAGTTGTGAAAAAGGACTTGCACTGAGCACACTGGAACGGCTGAATAAACTTAGAGGGCGTCTTCTCTTTAGATGTCTTGTTGTTCTCAAGTATACAATTTACAACCTCTTCAAGGCCGACTAGGTAAATAAACTCATTATTTGCAGCACTAGGTAGAAAGTGGAGCTCTGGTGGGGGTGGTTTTGGTGGCGGGATTTGAAGGAGTGTTTTTTCCAACTGTTTGCGTAGAGCTAGCTTTGCAGCTGCCTGTCGACTGGCTGGTGATTGGTTCTCCATGTTTTGGGTCGAGTTTGAAACATGATGGCTGGTGTACGACTGTGATTGTGATTGCCTTAAATGGCCGTGGGTGCTGCTGGACAACGGTACCTGCTGATGCCGGACTTGATACTGTGGAACTTGTAAACTCTGTAGAGAGCTACGATTGGCCATAACAAGAGGTGGTGGACCTTGCTGTATGCCTCTTGAGTGCTGCATCTGACTGCTGCGCATTAGTTGGGGGACATGTTGTTTGTGACTCTTGAGAGCAGTCGAATGTGGGCTCGCATGGTGAACCAGTGGGGGAGGGATATTAGCATTAGTGTTACGAGAACTTTGAGAAACCTTGGATAATTGATGTTGCTGGTGATGATGATGTTGTTGTTGATGCTGATGTTGCTGCTGGTGCTGCTGCTGCTGCTGTTGTTGCTGGTTCACCAGGGCATGGTGGTCCTTTGGAGTGGGTATCGGTTGTAGCTGACTCTGCCGTAATTTCTTCAGCAATAACAGCTTTGCCTCTTCATTTCGAAGCTCTTCCTGAAGTTTTCTTATTAAGTCTTCCTTTGGTAAATCAGTGGCTATGGAAATCTTCGGCAAACTAGATTTAGAAGATGGTTTGTGTTCTTCGTCTGATGACACAACTACCACCTCTTCTGCTTTTGTTGTGTCTTCTTTTGTGCTTTCGTCATCATTCCTAAATACAAGCAAAAAAATCCAATATGGAAAACTATTATCATAGCATAAATAAAAACTTAACTGTAATAAGTAACAGTACTAAAAGAGCAACACAAATAAAATATTTTTCAGTATAATTCCAAATGGAAAAAGTTCATGATACTTTTTCAGATGTGGATAAGCTCTTTGGTTAACATAGGATTATCTAGTTATAGTGCAAAAAACAATTCTGGTATTTGAATGAAAATAAAATCTATGGTAATAGAATTATAATCACATACCAACAGTCTCCACTCTCACTCCATTTATCTTTAGTACACTCTACTCTACTCTATTTAAAATTCTCCATTTCTTAGGCTCATTCACAAATACTATAGAGTAACATTACTGTATAGCATGATCTTCAACAGAACTTTAAATACCAACACATTACAATCAACCTAATTTAATTCTCTCATCCACCTTAAGACAAAAATGACTATATACTTTGAATACTCTGAGATATGTAATTCTGCCCTCCCCTCTATTTCAAGTGGACAAATTTGTCAATGTATTAAATCATCTCAAGTATTTCTTCACACTTGAACAACTATCCTTTAATTATATTATCTCAAAAAACTCCTCTTTACCACTGACCATGCTTCAGACTAGAAGACAATGTGCAAAATTCACAAGTTAATAAAATATCTGTCTGAAATATACAGTACAATTGTACTATGTTGCCTAAAAACCTGTACTGTCTGGATTTTAACTGAATATGTACTATAATTTGAAGGTTCTTGAAAAAATAGAATTAGACTAACTCCATTTCTTCCTTATCTTAGCATGCAACGGAAGTCAATTCCCAATTCTCCTGGCTAGCTCTGCAGGGAACACCTCCGCAAGAAAAACTAAACTGTATACTCATGACTTTAGTTTCTTCTTCAGGAGTGATGCAGCAAACAGTAGCAAGAGAATTACTACTTTAAGAAATATAATGTGAACTTGTGCCAGAAAAGCATCAACTGAATCTCAAAGTTACCAAACAGAAGAACAGTACAATGCCAACATATGGCAGAATGGCAGAGTGTGTTAGTGATGATGATGTAAAAGAAAAATGTTTCATTTTTTAATATTCTTTCCAACAACTACAGTAATAAACAAAAATTTATCATTTAAATTATATCATTATTATATCATTATTATTCAATAGTGCCAAGAGATAATAACTTAATTTCAGTAGCCTAAAGTCGGGCACCCACTGCGTTGTACTGTTTTACGCCCGTCGGCTGATAAATGCAACTCTGCTCCCTGTGAGCATTAGACAATGCACCACTGTCAGTGATAGTGAGTGTCACTGTTGTCGGATCGTTGCGTTCTCTATAGAATCGTGTCAGCGGACGACCGTCGTGCACGGTGAGTGCCCGGCTTAGAAATAATATTGATTCATAGTACAGTACCTTCTATGACATGCATACTAAATAATGGACGGTGAAATCAGTGTGGTACTGACACTAGTAAAGTTATTAAAGATATAATGTACCATAACAAAAATCATCACCAATACAACAATCATCACTTAATGTACTCAGATAATTGTATCGTTACATCATCATTACAGTAAGCATTGTATCATTACATCATCATCAGACACGTCAAGGGTCTCACACTGGCTTACTTGAGATTTCTTCTGGACTTGTTTGTGATTAGGCAATTTTCGAAAATTATGCGCGCGGTCACAAACCCTAAGGAAAATACAGTCAAGCGTCGATATAATATACACCTTTACAGTGAATATGATGTCATTTAGTTTTCTTCAGTTTCTGCTGAGGCGACGTCGAACACTATGACGATCGCTATGGGGTCGCTAGAGCCGATTGTCGTCTTTGTATATGTTGTATGCTTGTTTTAAGAAAATAGCTCATTAAAAAAAATATTATTTGAAGAAATTCTGGAATGTGTGAGGATATACAGGCCTAGTGTGAGGTCGAAGTTAAATGCGTGAGACTCCCGCGAGATGCGCCAGACTTGACACGTCTGCACCATACTGTAGATCATCACAAATTATTCTCTTTCTATTATAACTAAAATACTCTTTATAATTATTATCATATAATCACCAATTATCATAATCATTATCATACTTGTTATCACTCAAGATGAAATCATCACCTTCATAAATTGCCATAATTACCATCACAATTCTTCGTCTCATGATCATCGCTATTCTCCATTATTTAATATCAAACAATCATAATTCACGCTTTCACCAAAATCTTTTCACGAAATTATCATACTACCCTGATTTACTACCATTGCCAATTTAATAGTTGGCTCTTTTCAAATTATCATAAATAATAAAAATATTTGTTTTAATATGTTTCATATATTGCTTGAATTCTATGTACTTAAAAAATTTACATGCATAATATTTTCACATTCAGCTTTTGTACTGTATACCTTATGATAAAAAATCAATAATTTATATAAACCCATGTACAATATTATAATCAATCACGAAATCAATAATAATGCACTACGCATTCCTGGATCCAATGGTTTGACAAGCTTGAATTCAATCAATAACAAAAATTAAAGCGGCATTCTCCTTGCGCCAACTTTTAATTATATCCCTGTTGCAAATTTAAAAACCCTGAGCCTGTCTTCATTCATTGGGTATTATATAATGGATAGTCTAATCTAATGAAATATCTAGAGTTGTAACCGATAATCAAAAATGTGCTTATGCATGACTTGTGAAACTCCCACTTTAATTCTATTGATTTACGAATGCATCTCAAATACTTGATACACAGAGAAAAAAATCCCCATAAATTGAGGGTTGGCTTATACCTGAAGACATCCCAATTTAAAAGTTTGACAAATTTGCAAAGTAAAAAAGATAAAAACTCAAAAAGGTTAATAAGATGTAGATTTTTGAACATTTAAAACCACCCCTTTTTTACCTCAGTATTTAAATAATCAATATTGTAAAATCTTCCGTTATGTAAATCAAATAAAATACTTACTTTTCCATTTTTTCTGATGTGTCCATTGCTTCTATGTCATTGAATTTTCCATTTGATTCTGTACTTGAATTTTTGTTTTCTTTGTCTACAATTTCAGTTTTAGAACTACTATCAGCTTCTTTTGTTTCTTCACTCATAGTTCTTTTTTCCTCATTCTCCTTTTCAGTGGAATTATTTTTATTTACAATATCATCAGTTTTTGTCTCTGTTTTTACATTTTGGGAAGGAACATTAACAGTCTCTGCTGTTATAACATCTTCATTTTCCATATCAACAGTTGTCGTGTCTACTGTGTCCTTGTCAACCGTTTCCTCATCAACTGTTTCCTTATCAACTGTTTCTATGTTAACAGCTACCTTTGAAGGTAAATTTTCTTCTTGGCAGTTTTCATCACTGGAATTGTCATTTTCAGTTGTTACATCCCTCTCACCTTCACCATTCCTTGTGGATTCTTGAATTTCCTTTGAGGTCACAACTAGGTCACTATTGTTGACTTTTGACCTCTTTGCATCTGGTTCCCCATTGCTATCAATACAGTCTGGTGGAGGCCTGCAGGGAAATTAATTTAAAGCTTTTAGGGTTTCATGTAAAACAACATGACAATGTACAACTGAAAATGTGTAAAATAGTTGTAAGATACTTACCAATGTGACCTTCAAATCACTAAATCCACACTCTATAATGCAAAACCTAAACATCAAGATGCTACTACTGCTATAGCTATAGTTACATCAAAATAAGGGATATTCCTCCCCTGGGACATCCTTATTAGGGAGCACCATATTAAGGAGACACCTTTGTTGGTCCCAAAGGTATCCCTTAATAAGGGTTCTACTGCATTTAATGTTATGTCTATAGTTTAGAGTAAATAAATATTAAGACAATAAACATAAAAAAAAACCTGCTCCTCCACCCCTTTGTCCTTGTTTTTGTCACTTCCTTTCCTTTATTTCTTTTAATTCCAAACATTACCATAGAAAATAACTTGTGCTAGACTACTGTAATCCTATTGTTACACTTTGTATGTGGATATGTGTGGTATCCATCTTTGTGTCAAAAAGGAGAAATCGTTTGTTTTAATCGTGGAATGAATGGAGGATTTTTCTGGCCTAATAATTATCTAGCATATATTTTTATTCATTATCTGCAATACACAGGTTTTGGTCATGTTCATTGTTATGTCAAGTCATACTGCCTATTCAACATATAATAAATGTTTATTTATATAATATAATTATAAATTTAAATTTTACATTTATTATTATAATATGCAATAGATTTGAATCATTAAAATTAATATGATCAAAATACATATGCAATACATAAAAATACAATGTAAATAAAGTGTAACAAAAGTAGTTATAGGAGTAGTCCTATATTTAACTACAATTATTATCATCTATCAATGCCATATTAATATGGAAATTTTAAATTATTAGATTTTGGGCATCTAAATGTCACTTAATTTAAATAGTTAAATAAAATAATTACAAATATAAATATTATTAAATCATCATTGCAATATAGTACTGTAGATGTTTTTGTAATTTAAATGTCATATTAATATACAGTACAGTATTGTACCATCATAATAAGGGAGTACAGTAATAAATTATTCATTTGGTCATGTCTTCTGTGTTTCATCGGTAAATTTAAAACACTTTCATCCCAATGTACCAGACTAAAATCCAGGTCATATGAACGAGGTCAGCTGGGTTACTTCAGTGTCACTGTATAAACCTAGTACAAACTCTTCATTGGCATTTTATGAAATGCTATAGCAGGGAATGTTATAATATTGTTGAATATACTGCCGGCTCGTATACATGGCATTAGCATATGGAATAGCGACAGTATTTAACATAATGTTTCCCAAGATTTAAAGAGACATTCGCACACACAACTTGCTACACAACACATTCACCATTGTAGCATCATCATGTATTATGAGGATGCATTTATATGTCTCAACTTATCTACCACAAAGAACTTCAGGATTTTTATTTAGAAGCATGAATGACGACTCGTAAATAACTATGACATCAGGTCATTGGAACGCCACTTTAATAAGATATTCTGGCATTAAATTGCATTATCTCTAGGAGCTCTGCTTAATATTGTTCACCTGTTCAAAGCAGAAAAATGCTGTTTAATCTTTTAAAATCTAAATTGTTAATTAAACTTTTTAAAATGTATCATGAAATTAATTGAATTTACTTACTAAAATAGATTTTTTATATTGCAAAATAAATGATTATAATTAATCTTGTTGAATTTTAAACCATTTTATTTATATTAACATTTGGAATTTGCAGTAAACTCACTAAATTTAATTTAGCAATCTTTTTATTGAAGTATTTAAAAGTGGACTATTTTTTTTATCACATGCCCTTATAAAAATGCTATTTTGATAGCTTTTACTTAATATTCTTTTTTTTTTTTTATTTCTTTCTTTTTATTTATTTAGTTTTTATTATTTCTTTTTTTAAATGGTAATTTTAACTAAGTAGGGCCTACTGTACCTTAATACAGAATACTGTATGAAAACACCTTACTTGGTGGCCATGCTGTACATAATTTACATGATAATTGCCATCATATATTTCAATGACCACAATCAGTTCCAATTAAAATTAATATATAATTCTTTAATTACATACTATATAAAAATTTATTTTATAATAAATAATTGCCATCGTGAATAATCATTAATCAATTATTACTATCAATATCTTTTAATAATCTGATTGTAATTGATAATGCATCTTGTCAGTACAGTACTATACAAATCAGCTCTGTAGCTATCATACTCTATAGGAATACTATAGCAGTAAACATTAACATGTCATAGAATTTTCAGAGGGTTACCTAAGCTGAACTGTAAATTCTGCTGGGACTTATGTTGAAAGAAATGGCAAAGACAAAGAGTATCAAGAAGGCTATGTATGTTCTAAAACAGTATACAGAGGTAGCTTTGTTCTCAGCACATTCATATCCCTAATTACTGCCTATATTTCACAAACTTATTTAATCCTAAGCATGATTATTAAGATAAAATTTAATTTGTATAATCCCAATTGTCAGATACCTGAAAATGATTGATAAGGTAAAAAACATGGACCCAAGGAAAGCTAAAGAAAAATAAATGAAAAGAAGGTCGCAACTCCAAGATAATACACACATACTGTACTATAGTGATGCACACTCACACAGGAGAAACAGTCAACACAGTGTCGATGAAAAAAGGTAAGTACGGCTGAAAGCAGCGGGCGCAAGGCAGACCACAGACAATTATTGGAGAGGCTTACATACAACAGTGGATTTAAAACAGCAAAGATGTACAGTAACAAGAAATGGGCAAAACACATCAAGAACATAATTATAAAATATATTATAAGAAAGGTCATTATTATTGCATACCTCTACCTCATAAGTAATCTTTTGTGTTGTTGTGTTTTATTTATTTATTTTTTTTTTTATTTATTTTTTTTTTATTTTTTTTTTTTTTGGTGCTTATCTGTATCTTAATAACGTAATAATTTGTTAACTCTAAAAATAGTATTACTACAGTATTACTACAGTAATTTTGTTTTTTATTTAGTGGATTTTGTTTCAACACCAATACAGTACTGAATACTGTTATTGTATAATTGTTTTGTATAACTTTTAGTCTCTTTTAGTTTAGTTGTTTTTTCTTACTCATTGAACGCACCGAAATGTTGTGTGCCACTGAAACAAGTGTATGTTCAGTTGAATAAAAAAAAAATATTATCTTTATTAACTTTATTGAAGAGACAAAGTTGAATGGCCATGCGGTTAAGACAGGGGTGCCACAACCTACATATAGCCATCGGCGCTGGTTTGAGCGGCACGCTCCTCTATGGTTCTGGAGGTCGAACAAGTCTTCTTAGATAAGAACTAGGCCCAGTGTAGGGGAGAGTAGGGTTTAGTGAAACATTGTCTATACATCCACCCTCATTTCCCTAAATAGTCCTCCAACCCAACTAATGCATTGCAGACCCACCTAGACTAAGTCGGAATGTTTCGCTGACCTTTTTCGAACATAACTGCTTTTATAGCATTTTTTAGACCCATAAAACACATTTATTACTCTAATGCATAACCTAGCAGTCCCGTATTTAGGAATTTCAATGGGGGGGGGGGTTCGGCTTGGGACTATGCGGGACTCCTTCGTGATCCTAATTAATTAACTGTAATTTCCTGTACTTAACGAAATAAGCATCGTTTATCATAATTTTTTCGATTTTATCATAATAGTAACTTTTATTAGTAAACTCAATCAAATTCTCCATCTCACGCGGGGATGGGGGGAGGGTGTTCAGACGAATCCCCCGAACCCCCCTAAATACGGGCCTGCCTAGTTAGTTTTAAAAGTTGTTATTTATCTTACTATTCCAACAGTATGTTTCAACTAACCCCAAGAAATGTTTCAACCCTGAGAAATGTGGCAAAGACAAGCAAAACCAGTCACTCGTCGCAAAAATCGATTTTGAGTTTATTAATACAGAAACTATCATCAAATCCTTAAAAAGTGTTGTTTTAACATTGTAAATGGAGAAAATAACAGCATAGAATGATGTATAGATATGTAAAGATTAGTTTAGTGCAATAAAATAGATTTTTAAAAATTTGACATTCCAGCATGTTTTGGCCATTTTCTCTGAAACACGTTTTGTGACAAGTGACTGGTTTGGCTTGTCTTTGCCACAAATGCTGTAATGTATGTATGTTTATTTTAGACTTAATAATTGGTCCATTATCACACAGAATTAAAAGAAAAGTAGAAAAAGATGATACAAGAATCAGTCATGCTCAAATCTTTAAAAAAAATAAAAGGTTATGTAACAATGCTAAATTATATTAAAATATTTCATAATCTAGAAAACAACTGCTAATTTAAAGTTAGATTCATGTCATAAATATTAGTGCTGCAGAATCATATCAATTGACTTGTAATTTATAAATCTGAATGGTAGGTAGCAAGACTTTTTCGACAACCATGTCTAATGGAAAGTATGTTGATTTCAGTTGTGACTCATCAACAATTATGAAATATAATTATTCTAATCTAAGAGTTATGTTTTATACAATTTTGTTATATGCAACGCTCTGCCTGACAGTCAAACATAGTAGAAGTTACACAAGGTATTAGTTTACAAGTTTACATGTAATTTTAAATTTTTTTATTCGATATTATTATATTTTATTTAGTTAAATACATACACACTCCATCAAGACCTCAGAAAATGGTACATTATCTTTCTTTTAACATCTTAACCGTTTTATCATATCACATAGATACACATTACTGCAATTCTCTAGAATTCAATTCAATTTATTCGGTTAAACATACTGACTATAATAAATTACTATACATTAAACTTTTAAAAAATGTTTGAAATGATTTGTTTTGAACTGAAAATTAGAGAAACTATTTTCCTCAACAATTAGCAGAAGCATCCTGTTTCTATATCCTTTTTTCATAGGCACTTAAATTGGCTAATAACTAATGTAAGAAAATTCTAATCTTGGGGAAAAAAATGTAATTCAATGTAACTGAATTGTTTCAATTTGTGTCTCACTGGAAATTTGATAACTTAAAAACAAGGTTTTAATTTATTTGTTGTGCTTTTCAGGTTTTACTTCAGAGAGCATTAAAGGAAAAGGAAAAAAGAAACACCAATATATTCCAATTTTAAGTCTGAGAGTGCAATTTCCGGACTTCTAGAGGTGCCATACTCATATATATTCTTACCTCAACTCCAACCATGGTGGAGCTGAGGTGATATGGACCCTCCATCTGTGAAAATCCATCTTTGGTATTTCAAATTCCTGGATCTGCCACTAGAGCGTATCTTGGATAGATCACAGTAATCATAGTGTTAATAAACAAACAACAATAGATAAGCCAAAGAAAGCAGCAAAAATAAAACATTACTGTACTTCTAATAGACTACCTATTGACCAAGTTGTTTTTCACTGGGCAAGTAGAGTAAAAATCTACCAGCACATTTAATTATGAACTATTAATATGTAATTTAACATTTTTAATGCATGATTGTTAACCTACCATTAGGAGGCCTTTGTTTAGTAGGTTCTTATTACAAATTTTAATACAAACCTTTTCATAAGTTTTTCCTGGGTTACTGTTCCAGGTCCATTTAGTTGGTTAGATTCACTAAAAAAAAAAGAGAGAAAGAAAATTGTACAATAGTAAAAAGATTTTTTATACAAAATAAATAAATAAATATAATTATAATTACAAATTTTAAAAGCATAATGGTAAAATGTGACATGATTTTAATATTCTAATTATTATAAGCAATCATGGTTCAATCCAATGTTTTTTCTAACCAGTACATGGACAAGGAGAGAATCCTTTATACTTTCAAATACTTTACAGTACGGAACAAGGCCAGAATTTAACAAAAGATTCTGTCTTGCCACTGTAACAGTCATATAAATATTCACAATGTACCTTTTCTATGGTCATAGAATCCTTGTACATTTGACCCGAGAGAAATAAATTCCGATATGAACAATAAGACTTAATCGGTACTGTAGTTAGCCTATGGATCAAGCTTGATACATTTCATAAAAACCATATGGTAATGTAAACTAAGCTATGCAGTATTATTGGGGCATGGAGATGAAAAAAAGCTTCCCCGCCAAATTGAAGTGTGCCTACCAACAATTGCCCTGGGATGTGCTTCAAATCACAAAGAAATGAGAGATAAAATTTTTTTTTAAAGTAATATATAAATATGTGGTGGGGACTCCAACTGCAAACTAAACAAAATGATATGATGATATTATGATAATAGTGATAAAGATAATGATGATTATGATAATAATCACGATGAAAATAATGATAATGATGAGGGCATAAGTAGTCCAATTATTGTACTTGGACATTTGGTGCTTAACATCCAATGCCATTAATGGATCTTTCCATTAAGACCTACTGTATCCCTTGGTTGAATATTACTGTTAATATCCAACAAATCATCAGTGAAACATCTGTATACAGTACATGGTAGGAGGGAAGCACTATACTAATTCAATCATTTATTACATCTTTAATATCAAATATAAATAAAACATTAATTTTAAAAAATTACAATAAAAAGAATGGAAATGGATGGAATTGAATACAACATCCTATGACATCACAGGTTGAACTTGAGCATCCCAAGGACAGAGGGATGAGTAGGGTTTAGTTACATACCAGTAGATCAAATAGGGCTCAAATTATTAGAGCTTCAATGTACTTACTGTATCACCTCAATTGGGTATTGCTAAACCCCGCAAACCCTGCATGCCCCGCAAACCTCCAAAAACACAGTGCAAACCCATCCAAACTCTCTGATAATGATCGAATCACATAAGTATACGACTCAATTTGGTATCTCAATAAAAAAATTCATAATTTTATGTTCGTCACAACCTATTTTTGGGGTAAAAAGGCCATTTTTTGTGTAAAAAAAAATTGCTAAACCCCGCAAACCTCCAAGACACAGTGCAAACCCCATCCAAACCCTGTGATAGTGATTGAATCATGTAGTATATGTAGGACTCACTTGGTATATAAGTTTTAAAAAATTGTAATGTTCCATTTGTAATAACCTACTTTTTGGGTAAAAATGCCATTTTTTGTATAAAACATTGCTAAACCCCGCACTCCAAAAACATAGTGCAAATCCCATCCAAACTCTCTGATAATGATTGAATCACATAAGTATAGGACTCAATTTGTAATCTCAATAAAAAAAATCTTAATTTTATGTTCGTCCCAATCTATTTTGGGGTAAAAATGCCATTTTATGTATAAAAAAATTGCTAAACCCTGCAAACCCTCCAAAACACAGTGCAATTTCTGTCCAATTTCATCATCAAATTTTACACTAAACAAGGATTTGCTTATTACGTTATTCATGCGTTATCATTCACTATCAATTTAGTGTTTATGTGATCCAACTCTAATTATAAAATTTTAAAAAAAACCTACTTCAAATAGCTAAAGTATTCAGCTGTGCAGGTTGCCCAAGGTAGTATTTAAAAACAGGACTCAGGGGAGTGGGGATGAGTTGTAGGGGTACACACAGACTCAGGGTCACAAAGAGACTTAGTCACGGACCTGTTCCTTTATATAGTATGTGATCTTATGGTCCTAAACATTCTTGACATCCTATCCTAATTGAAATTTCCTCTATCTAGACACAACTATGAAATATGAAAATATGATTACATTACACTGTCAACACTGTGCACAGTTTTATTGAAAATTACAGTACAGCCTTCAAAAATAGTATTTTTCTGTGCACACACAAAACAAGGAAGAAATTATAATATTTTTTTCAACATGATTTAAAGAAATCAAATTAACTTGCAAAATTAATGCACACTAATTACAGTATGTGTACTGGTGAAACAATAAAAAAAATTGGACAGTACTATATTAGATTAACAGTCTTTTTAATACTTAGTTTAATTTACAAAAATTGTGTTCTTCCCATTCCGATTCAAACTAGACTTTCCGATCGTCATTCACCGCAACTTGCTCTACCAATTGAGCTACATAGTAGTATGAAAATGATGTTTAAAATGTATATTTTCACATTATTAGCATCGTCACAAAATGTCATTCTATTCATGTTTTAACATGTGATATTACAAATTGCAATATTGTAGAATGAGGCTACATAATGATGGCTAAGAATCCCACTGTTTCTACTTCCAGGTGAAATATTATTGTGCATATTAATGTAATAATGGCTAAATGGTAATTATTTATTATATAACGATGTATTATAAATTGTAAGCTAAAATTTTCATTCAACATTTATCAAATAGAGTTAATGGTTACCATAAAGAGCATACTTACTTACTACATGGTCTTTTAAACAAAGAAATGGAAAAAGAATATTTATGAAAACCTAGGAAGAGCATAGTACATTACTCAAATAAATATTATAGATAACATTTAAAAAAGCTTAAAATGTACAGTACATGGTCTTCTGTATTTAAGAAAGGTTTGGGGTCAGAAATTGAATTCCAGTTTAAGATTCAGCCATGTCTCAAATCGGAACTGAGCTAAACGACACAGTATTCCTTTCAAAGAAATCAGTGCCTGTAACTGATGTCACAGAAAAATGTTCTCACTTATCATTCGATTCTTTATCATGCAAGAAAAACTTTGGATACGGAACCTTTCTCAATGGAATAAGTAATAAGCAATCAAGGATGCTAAGATGTTTATAATACTTAAGGTAATGCAGATAATAACTTTCATTTTCCAAAATGGACATTTGTAGACTGATATTACATAGTACAGTGTTTTAATCAATAAAATTGAACAGTTCTAGTTCGTCATATGATGGCCAAAGACTGCGTTAACTGTTTGGCTTTCAGTCCATAATGCCATGTGGTATCTCTGGAATCTTTGTAGAAACATCAATCCATCAGTAGTACGCGATACGAAATGGCGTTTCCTGCGACAGGATCTAACGATCTTGGCGGGGGCTGATTGCGGAGACATTTTCTCTCAATCCTCTGAACACCCATGGGTATTAAATTCTAATTTTTCTAAAGGAAGTTGTGATCGTTCCTGACATGGTGACTTGTGTCGGCTGGTACAATAGGTACTTGGGTATCTTATGATTATACAGTGCGAGACAAGGGGGAACAAATTTTACCCCCTATTATAGGCTCTGTTTAATGTACCAAGAGAGTGAATTTAAGAAACACTTGGTGCACAACATGTTCACATAATTTGGCCTGAAATTAGCCTACAATTAACTATTTCAACATGTTATTTACTAATTGGCAAAAAACAGAAAATTTAAATTTTTGCCAAGTGAATTGTAAAAAATAGGTTTCCTACTATAGTTCCTCAGTTGGATAAACTTCAGTAGCAGAAATTGAAACAGAAAAACTACATTACTCACTTAGAATTCAAGTCAAGTACAGAAAAATACTGCTTAGTATTCATGACAATGTTAGATGACAATTTTCAGTTTTATAGCACATATTGTACTCCTGCTTCTTTCATATAAAATGTAAAAAGTCCATGGTAATTACAATTTTTATTCTAAAGATGATATTGATGGTGAAAAAAATAACTTGAATGAATCTTTCATTAATTTTGCATTACCTGTGGTCCATCTTTTGCGTTGTACTGTCTGGTTCTGGAGGTTTAGCAGCAAGGTCGTTCTGGCTGCTAGTTGACATCTAAACAAAAAATTAAATATTTAATAAGAAATCATTGCAAATATCAATATCATGACTACAAGACTGATTAAAATTATGCATAATGTACACATGTGGTGCAAACACAAAGTGGGAAAATGAGGCTTCTTGTTAGATTAATAATTATTGCATTGACTTCAGTAGAGTAGAATAATATAATCTGATTTTTTTATACAATAATTTTTAGTGTTTTTTTTGGAGCTTATAAGCTGGTCTAGGCTTACCGGTATACTACTAAATTAATAATTTACTCTGGGAAACATGGTAGTCTTCATATAGGTGCTGTAGATATTAAAATTTGTATGAAATTACCGGTATTATTAATGAAAACAATGTTTTGATACACAAACACATACAATACAATTTACTTTACAAAAATCACAGGAATTAAATTTTACAAACAAAAATTGCTACCATAGTTCCCCGGGAATAGTCCCACCTCAAATATAATCCCATCCCTGACTTTTGGTTCAACTTTGAGTACAAGCATTTCCCTGGACAAAGTCCCAGGGAATAATTTGGTTGAGTAGTTTGGTGAATTTTACAAATGCTCATCAAAAATAAACAAATTCGGCAGACTTTTCTAATTGATTAGACCAGACACTGGTCAATGTAAAGTTCAATATTTATAAGCCACAGGGATTTGCCATCCTTGTAAATTCCTGTTGTTTACTGCAAGCAGCTCTCTACCTGCAGCTAAAAACAGACTAACACACTAAAGAAACCAGCCCTGTAGGCCCATCGGATCGTTTACAAATCATAGCGTGGAGACTCATGTGATCCACACAGGCTCTCACTGCTACAAATAACTATTTACATTATGCATTACAAGTGGGCGGTCTTTCACATTGCAATCAGTGGCGGACCGTAGGGTAAATTGCAGGGTATGCTAGGTATTGGCATATCTAGGATGTGCAAGGGGTGCGCACATCCCTCCCCCTACCCCTGAAAAAAAATACTCGCCCATTCACTAGTCGCGCCCTCCGCCCACAAATCATGCTCAAGTAGTTATAAATCACCTCATATCACCTTATTTTGCGAGTTATCCCCTCACCTAATCACCAATCCCCCCCAGTACCTTCCTGTCCCCATCAGCTCCCTTCCATTTCAAGACCCCTACGCCACTGATGCTAGGGCCTGCTAGTGATATGAAAAGTTTGTAAGCCTACTAAAGAATCAGATTGCGTTCTATAGTCAAAATACAATATTATGTTATTTTTAATACCGGCATGGTTGTCTTCTCTTCAAAAGAATTCTTATTCCTGTATTTTAACAAATTTCAATTCAAATAATAATAATTCAAAGTTTCTTCTACACCGGTCATATGTATGTAAACGTATTTAAACTTTAATCATTCAGATTAGGCTTACAAATAGAATACCCGATCGGCAGTGGAGGTCCCGATTTGTGAGAAGAGTATGCGCACATACTCTTGGAAGCACTGCTTCCATTCCAGTGTTAAATTGGCTATTCTGACGCCACATGATTGGCTGATATCGAAGACCAGCCATGCGGAAATTCTAAGCAGCTAGAGTACGATGCGATAGGCTCGACTGTGACAATATCCTAGGTACCAAAGTAGGCCAAACATTGAAAAACTTTGCTATTCCAATGAACTGTAGCATTCCACTCGAAAAATTAAGGCGTATATAGAAGATCCTGACTAAGATGCTAAATAAAATGGAGAAACTGTACTACTATTTTTTTTTTATTTGTTTTAGCCAGGGTATGCACTGCATACCTTGCTTGCCCTGACGGGCCGCCACTGATTGCGATGGGTGATTAGATTGGATAGCAATCTCTGTAACTAATGCTGGGCGAAAATAACCTACTGAGTTATCTATGTCTAGGCTGTGGCTCAAGAGGCCTGCAGGAAATTTGAAATAAAATTGGCAGTACTGTAACTGTATTCATTTATCCTAAATCTAGTAAAGGTAAATGAGAATAAACCATAACTCGCAGGGTTCTTGTGCTGAATTGCGTATGGGCATGGTCTGCGACTACCTAGCGGCCGTAAGGAGCTTATAGTAGCTACAGGTTCGTATCATTCCAAAATGACAGGAGTTGTAGTTCACCTACAGCACTTCGGCTACAATCAGTAGGCATGAACCTATGACATCAAAAAGGTAATGAATAGTTCGTAATTTGCGCCGCGCCATCAATGACTGGGCCGTATCCTGCTTATACGTAAAGCCATTCTAAAAACCACAAGAAAGTGTATCTTTTTGCCCTAAGCCTACAGTATGTTCTAGAAATTAGCAACACGTCAGCAAATCAGCAATATTAATAATTTAAGTTTTGGTACCAATTTTTTTTAAGAAAGCATGATGAATTATAGATTAGACTAGTAAATTCTGCATTCAATGTACTGTAAAGATGAATAGGCTATAAGCAGTTACTGAATCTTTGGATCCCAGCCCATAGGTTGAATGACATGTGAATGAAGGCCTACAGTAGAAGAATACTCATCATCAGGTGATATAGGCACAGTACAAAATGTAATACAGTAAACTGTAATGTGAGCAACTGATTACTTTGCTATGCCAGCCATACAAAAATTGCTTTTTTAATAAAATATTACAATATTACCATTAGTAAGTGGTCCACTGAGGACTGTCCCAAATATGAAATTGCTCAGTATGGGAACACAAGTAACATAATGTCATTTTAAGCACTGAAAAATGCAAGGTAGACACACATTTTAAAGCATATCTCCAACCCAACCATATATTGTGAATTTTTTTGTCAACCCTATTGGAGGTCTGGGTATCGTACTATCATAATCATCATCATCAAACAAACGTTAATTTCCGTGATGGAATCGTCGGCCACGATAAGTTGCATGACTATTATGATTATGATGAAGGTAACAATAAGAAGATGATAAAAAAAAAAACCGTGAAGATGATTTGGACTAATAATGACAATCTAATATTATTGGCAAATATGAAGTTCATGTAACTAGTAGCTTCAGTAAAACTGGTTACCTTCACCCATCTCCTCTACCACAATGCTAAATGGTTGACTTAGACTGAGGGGCTATATCAGATACCTTTTTTGAATTCATCAAATTGTACATTCTACAAAATACATTATGTGTTTATGCCAGGTGATGATGGCGATTTTAATGGAGCCATGGAATGTTCTATTTTTAGAATCGCCCTCAAGGACAGCTGGGAGGATGTCAATCTCATTTGCATAAGATTAGCATTGGAGTGGAAATTTCAGTCACAGAGGTCACACATGATCTGATATAATACTGGATTCTTATTGGTCAATTTTGTCCCATTCCTTGAAAAAAAATTAATCCACTATTATGGGATGGAACAAAGCACATTGTTGGGACAGTTCATCAGGAAAGAGAGCATGGCAGTAACACGAGACCCAACAAGATCCTAATTACTGAATGTTAGCGCAGTGTACAATTAATACATTCAATGTATGTAGAGAAGATCTACGAAATAAGTATTGATTGGCATGCTATCTTTCCTAAATCTATAATAGGCCTACTTACATTTCCAGTTGTTATTTGTTGTACAGAATGCAAGAATTCTAACAAGAGTTACAGGCTCACAACAGTATGAAGATACTGTGTTAGTTAAACAGGTTAAAAACTTATTTGTGCTAAGCCCCTTGGTACACAAACGAAATCAAAACAATGGGTTACAATAGGTTTGTGTTGCCAAATCAAGGCCGACCAATCCAAAACCTTGAAAATCTGGATTCATCAGCTTTTTATATTTCATTTTTTACCACTTGTATTATAATATTTAAAAATACTAATTCCGAAAATTTAATTGATATAAACCATGGATGTTTAGCCCTGTGGTAACTTTACCAACCAAAATGTATGGGATGAATGATATTTGCCAAAACCTAGAATCAGGCCTACAGTTGACCTACTGGAAATTAGTGAAAAAAAAAAAACATGAACTTCCAATTAACACAGACTGCCAAATGTCACTGATCTTGGGCAATACAGTGCTCAATGTTTTATGGCCGTATTATTACCAGGCAAACTGGTTTCTAAATCCCTGTCCACACTATCACATTTATTTCACAAAAACATGTGACATGCCTAAATATGGTCATGATGACATCACATCACAACCATCAAAGATACTAGAAACACAAGATCAGGGTTCTCACCACGCTGGTCGGCGGTGGTCGGGGCCGTCCAGCACTCAACATTTTTCGACCAGTATTTTCAGGCTGCCAATGAACATGCTTGCTACATCAGACAAGACAAAATATACCACCGTCTCCGTGGTAACGTTAATTTGGAACCTTACTACTATGTGCAGGCTTAGTATTGCTGCTCTTTCCTGAGCAACACACAAGGCCGTCCCGAGGCAAAACAACGTAACTGACATTTTTGACGATTTTGAGATATCATTTGGGAATATACTAAACACGTCTGAATGACCTATGAACATTTCAGGTCTCAATATCGATTCGTTTTGGAATAGCACCACCTATCTTTAGGCATAAAACTTAAAATCTAATGATTTTCCGTGGCAAAACAACGTAACTACAAGATTATGCAGCAAAACAACGTATCTGCAATGAAGACTTTGTTTTGCCACGGAATGGTATTCAAAAATTGTCTCGAGCCAATGGATTTGGCAAGGCAAAATCAAATGTTATTGGTGTTTTTATATCAATAATCTTAACAGCGATCCATAAACAAGCTAGGTAATGCACATGATTGCCACAAACGTGATAAATTCAAAAAATATGTCGCACTTGCAACAATACTCAGCCTAACGTATCTGTAATTATCACTTAATAATTTTAAAACTTTTACTTATAATCAAAATGCCTAAAGATATATAATCCTGCAAAATTTCCAAAAGGATACAACAATTTATTGCAAAGTTACAAGCAAGTGGATACAGGTCATATAATTGAAGTTGGATGTTTGTACAGTAAATAGTTGTTTAATTATAATTTTACTGTTTTTATTAAATGTATTTAACTTA